GGCGGGAGGCGCGCACCCGCGCTTGCACGATTTAATGCACACACGCACGCTCGTGCGCGCGCGCACGCACACACAAACACACACGCACACACACACACACACACACACACACACACACACACATTCGCACGTGCACAACCCTCAAACCCCAGGACACCGAGAACAAGCTGCGGGTCCTCACTCAGAAGCTGGAGTCTGACGGCAAGTCCCACCGCCTCGCAGTCGCCGCGGCAGCCAGGGAGAAGCTGCAGCTGGAAGGGAAGCTGGAGGAAGCCGCCGCCGCCCTCGAGGCGCGCGACAAGGAGGCGCGCGCGGCGGCACTCGCGGCGAAAGACGCAAAGCGACGGCTGGAGGAGGCGAGGCGGGAGGCGGCGAAGGCCACGGCGGGGCTGGACGCGCGCATGCGGGCCGCGGTGGCGGAGGAGGCCGCGCGGCAGCGGCGGGAGCGGGACGGACGCGTGCACCTGATGCTCTGCCTGATACGCGACGACGGGGGCGGGCGCTGCGGCCGCGCGTCGCATTGGCACCCGGCCTCGGCCGCGACAGCAGCGCAGGCTGTCCCTGGTTCAGGGGGCGCGGCGGGTGCCACGTCGGCGCCGCCTGGCTCCGGGCATGGGCAGTGCGAGGCTGACTGCCATGAGTCACCGGGGGCCGGCAGGGCAGCTTGGGGGCCGCAGCTGTCGCCCGATACGGCGGCGACCCGCATCCAAGCGGCCGCGAGGGGCCACCTCGCGCGCAGGCGCGTGGCGTCGGAAAGGCAGCGGCGGGCGCGCGCGGCGGTGGTGATCCAGGCGGGGGCGCGCGGCATGCGGGCGCGGCTGCTGGCTTTAGAACTGCGGCTGGAGGCGCGGGAGCAGAGGGAGGAGCGGGGCGGCAGCGGCGGCGGCGGCGGTGGGGGTACCCCTGTGGTTGTGGGGTCGCGCAGCCGTGGGCGGCAGCAGCAGCAGCAGGGCGACGGCCAGCCGCTCCCATGGGAGCTTCCAACGCTCCCAGCTGGCGCAGACTCGAGCGGCCAGCCGCTCGCGCGCCGGGCAGGCAGCAGCATCACGGCAGGCGGCGGCGGCGGCGGCGGCGCCCGTGGCGGTGGGGGCGGCCGGGCGCAAGGCGCGCGGCCGCCGGCAAGCGTTCCAGCGGGCGCACAGCACTCACCGCGACCCCCGGCGGGGAACAAACGGGAGTCTGCGCCGGCAGGCAGGCGGGCGGCGGCTCGCAAGAGCTCGGTCGGCGCGGCGCAGCCGGCGCAGACGATACGGAGTATTGCGAGCGGCGCGGGCCTCGCAGCAGGCAGCAGTGTTGCGCCTGCCGGCAAGCGATAGCAGACAACACGCTTTGTTTGGTAACAATTTATACACCTTTCAGCATTCAAGTCTGCTCACTATGCAAAAAGGCTGTTAGCGATGCAGGTACAGATACTAGGGTCCAATCAGAATAACTTGAGATTGCTTTCACCAGTTTTTGCTGCTCTCAGCGGCTCCGCTGCGTGCTGAAACTATACCACCGCCGCGGCTACCAGAGGCCCAAGCCCAGCGCCCCCACGACTTCCGTCAGCACCGCCGTCTCCAAGGCCGCCCCCCGCAGCCGCTCCGCCATGAGCGCCTTCTCAAGCAGCAGCTGCCGCCGCTCGGCTGCGACGGCCTCCATGCGCCAGCGCTCCATCGCCCGCGCATCTTGCCGGGGCGCCTCGCCGCTCGCGGCGCCGATGCCAAACGCAGGCGGCGGCCCAGCCCGGGTGCTGGCCGCCGGATGCGCCTGCGGCAGCTGCGGGGCTGGCGTGTAGCGCATGGGCAAGGTTGCTGCTGGGATGTTGCGGTCCCGGGCTGCTTGCAGGCCGTGCCGCAAGGCGGCCTGAGGGGCCGCCGCTGCGAGGGGGGCTGCTGCCATCCTGGACGGATGGCTGCTGCCAGCGGCCCGTGAGCTAGAGCGGGAGCCAGAGGGAGGAGCAGTGCTCGGGCGCAATTGGGCTTGGGGTGGCTGCCACAGCTGCTGCGGCTGCTGCTGCTGCTGCTGTTGCTGCTGTTGCTGCTGTTGCTGCTGCTGCTGCTGCTGCTGCTGCTGCTGCTGCTGCTGCTGCTGCGTGGCGTGCAGCCACCCCAGCGCGGCGTCGAACGCCCCCACCTGCTCCATCAAGCCGCCGACCGCCGAAGCCCCGCCGCCAAGCGACCCGCGCACCGTCACCGCCTCTGTGCCCCGCCCGCGCTGAGTCACCTGCGTCATCGCCGACTGCGCCGTCGCGGGATTACGCGGCCCTTCCCCAGCCTCTGCCCCTGACTGCACCGGCGCCCTGCCTGCTGCCACGGCCGCCTCCACTGCAGCGGCCGTCAGAATGCAGCTGGGCTGGGTGGAGGCGGTGCCCCAGAAGCGCGTGCCGCGGGGTGACACGGATGGCGCAGGGGCCAAAGCCGCCCCTGCCTCGCCATCCCAGGCCTGCGGGGCGGCGTCTCCTCGGCGGGGCGCCCCCGTGGCTGCCACAACTGCAGCCGCTGAGAGCAGCGCCGCATCGACACGGGCTTCGTGCGGCGACCTCCAGCTGATATTGCCGGCGCTCCTCGGGCGGTGTGGCTCAGCCTTGGGGCTCGATGCTCCCCCCCATACAGCCCCGGCCAGCGGCGGCCGCCCGGCGCCCGCTGCGCCGCCCGCCGCGCCGCTCCTGATCCGCGCACTCGCTGGGCGAGCAGAGGAACGCCCAGGCGCCGCGCCACCGCCCCGGCGGCTGGTCACGCGCGACGGGCTTCCCATCCCAAAATACACAGGCAACGGCCAGATCCCAGATTCTTCGGCTTCCACTGCCATCTGCGCCTCCAGATCTGCCAGACGCTTTTCAACCGCCCCTGACCAGGCCTTGCGCGGCGCGTCTGCGTGATCTGACATGCTGCCAGCGGTCAAGCTGCCGGAGGCGTCCCAACGGCCGGCACCAAAACTGTACGGATCTGGTAAGGAGCGGTCGCGCCGAGGGCTCGAATGCGGACTAAAGTCCCTGCTTGCGAATTTGGTAGTGTTGCGGCGCTGTCGTCGGGGCTTGATGCGGCTGCCCTCGTCCTCGCTGCCGTTGCTGCTGCTGCTGCTGCTGTCGCAGCCGCTCGATCTGGCCGCGACGTCCTCGCTGCTGCTGCCGTGAGAGCTGTGGCTTTCGCCACCCTCACTGTCGCGATCCCCACGGCAGCCGCCGCCACCGCTGCCGCTGGGCATTGTGCTGCCGCGAGGCCAACCGCCGACACCTTCGCACTGCTGTGTGCTTCCACTGGCTGAGCTCGTTAGGCCAAACGGCATGCGGCAAGAGCCCAGATCTGCAGCTGCAGCTGCTGCTGCGCGACGGACCTTGGCGCGCTGTGGGCCGCCACTCCCGCTGCCGTTGCGGCCGACCTCGGCGCAGCTCTCTCGGCCGCCGGTGCTGCTGCTGGCGGTGCAGTCGCTGCTGCTCGCCGCGCAAGTGAGTGTTTCGGCACGGACGGAGGGCACGCTGCTGCTTGCCTCAGTGCTGAGTGTTGTGGGTCGGCTGATCGGTGGCCACAAGTGTGCTGGTTCAGAAGCTCGCGCGCCGCTGCACCACGCCGGTGCCGCCTGTGGCACCACCGATGGTCGCACGGGGCGGGCCGCTGCCTGTGCGGCCCCATCTGGGGTCAAGGAGATTGGCGTGCTGTATGCTGTGCCTGGGAATGTCATGCGATGGTTGCGGTTCAGAGGAGTCTTTCTAATGCGTACAGTACACTAGTGAACTTGGAGGTTGGGCTGCTGGATGATTGCGCATGTCGGTTTCCCCTTGCAGCACAAAGCACCTATTCAGCGGTGCCCATGGCCGCGCCCCTCGACGGCCGGCGCCTTGCCCGCAAAGCAATGTTTATGCAGCAGCTGCTGTCAGGCGGTGCAGAGTGAATGGGCTCACCTGTTCGAGCCGACCGACCAGCTGGAGCCAAAGAGACACCCACAGCCGCCCTCGGCCCCGCTCCCGCCGCCTGCGGCATCACTGTGCCATCCCTATCCAGCGAGCTGCTGAGCCCGCAGCCTGACGGGCTGCTGCCAAGGAGAGCTGGACCATCCCATGAGCCGTCGTAATCGGCGTCGAAACCTCCCGGGCGGCAGCCTGCAGGGGCCGCGCCTGACGCTCCGCAGCTGGTGATCCTGCGGCTGCTGCTCAGGGTCCCCGCTGCATCGTATTTGCCCACGGCTACAGGCAGCGCAGGGGCCTCACAGCCTGGGGCAATCAGCTCTTGCAAAAGGGCAGCGCTTGCAGGCGCCCCCCCTGTGCTGCTCGGCGGTGCCGCACTTCCTGTAGTCTGCAAGGCAGCTTGCGCAACATCAGCCTCCACGCGCTGCGGCATGCTCTGGCCCCCGCTGCCGGGCGCTGCTGAGCTGACGGTTCCGTTGCAGCTGCTCCGCTGGCGGCGGCTGGAGGCGCTAGCCCTGTGCCCGGCTTGCTCCGCAGCCGCTTCCTCCGCGGCTGCCGCCCGGCCCAGGGCAATGGCAGACGCCTGGGCGGCAGCTGCACACGCAGCCTCCCTGGCTGCGGCCGCCTCCGACTCCGCTGCCTCTGCTCGCGCCGCGGCCATTTGGCTGGCCCAGAGCGCTTTTTCCCATCCCGCCTGCCAAGTCACTTTGTGCTGCGACGCATCTGCACCTGCTGATTCTGACGACGGCGGCCCAGCTGCCAACGCGGCCCTCTCAGCTGCGAGACGGGATGAGATGCCATCTGCTGCCGCGCCAAGGTCCGCGACTCCCGCCAAAACAGCTGCGCCCCGTTCCGCCCCGGTCGTAGCAGCGGCCGCATCAGTCACACGCGCCAGCTCGCCGGCGGCTGCGGCGCCAGCCAAAGCGAGCGCCGCGCGGGGCTCCAAAGCATGCGGCAGCTGCAGACCCGTGGGCCCCTCTCCCAGCAGGTCCACCTGTGCTGGGCCCCGCTGCCACCCGCCCCACTCCTCTGGCGCCGCCTCGCCTACGCTGGCCGTTGCAGCCCAGGTCTGATGCTCTACACCACCAGATGCACCTGAGTGCGTCATGTCCTCGGAAGCCGAAGCTGTCCCTGCCAGCCTCGTCGGCGGGCTGTCGCAGCCCAGCAGTGCCCCTTTTGCCGTGGCTTGGGCCGGTTGCGGTGGAGGGCCGGGCGCTGGGCTGACACTTTTCGGTTGATCGCAATTGCCAGCGATGGCCTTCTGCGCGATGCGCTCGCAAGGGCCAGCCGGCCTCTTGCTGAGTGGCAAACTGCACCCACTTGAGCCGCCGCCTCCGGCGCAGCTGGCGCTCATGATTCCACTGCCGAACGCGCTGCGGTCTTGCAAGACATCCAGACCCTGCAAGGGGGAATGTGTTCGCAGTACCGTTGCGGGCGTAAAAAATCTGACCAGCTGCGATCACTAACACGCCGCAACGTACGGAGGAGGTCTCCCCACCATCGGCAGGGCGGCTTGCGTGGGGGACTCAGGGTTTAGTGCCCTGCGGTTGCGGCCGCTGAGGGTGCAGTAAGTGCACAAACCCCTGACAGCGACGATAACCTACCTCGACAACGCGCACAGCGCTGCCACGAGGCCGCTCCGCTGCACTTGGACTCAACGCCGGCCCCTCGCCCTTGCCAGCCGGGTCGCCGCTGCCGCTGCCGGCAGGACCGCCACCGACGGCCGCCTTGTCACCGCCGGGCGCGCCGCGGCGCCCTACCGGCCCCACGCAGCCCGCGTTGCCTGGCCGTGGGCTCCAGCGCCGCCTGCTGGAGGTCCGCAGACTGCTTTTGCTGCTGGGGACGCAAGCAAGCGCAATTACGTCGCCAACACGAGGTGCCTCATCTGGCAAAATCAGGTCAGGCCCGTCAGGCTGCGAGGGTGTTGCGAGTGCTGCGGAAGCTCCCGGTTGCTCTGCGTCGGCGCCACTGAGGCCGGGCAGCCGCAGCGCCTGCTCATGCGATGGAAGACCTGCGGACGCGTGCAAGTGGGGTCAAGGCAACAGCTGAGAGGCGTGCACGTTCTCTCTTGCCTGGCAAAAACAGAGGCGAGAGTGCAGAATGGCAAGTGATGGATATGAAGCCATAATCTGCATCGTAAACCACAAACAAACAAAAAAAGCAATCCCACAACCCACCACTTGTAGCAGCTTCCACGCTGCTGGCAGCTGGAACGGTATGCTGTGATGGGCTGGTCGCCGGCTCAACCACCCTGAGTAAGTCGCCTCGAGGCTGCTGCTGCTGCTGCTGCTGCTGCTGCTGCTGCTGCTGCTGCTGCTGCTGCTGCTGCTGCTGCTGCTGCTGCTGCTGCTGCTGCTGCTGCTGCTGCAGTGGTGGCGACGACGTCGGTGTCGGCGACTGCTCCTCAACCTTCTTTTCTGGCTGCTGCTGCTGCTGCTGCTGCTGCTGCTGTTGCTGCTTCTGCTGCTGTTGCTGCTTCTGCTTCTGCTTCTGCTGCTTTGGTGGCATCAGCGGTGGCGACATCACCAAATTCTCTCGTATGGGCCCCTCTTGGACCTCCCACCACCTGTCCGCCTCGCAAGCCCGCACGCCGCCCCTGCCAGTATTTTCAGTCTGCAGGAGGGACGCCTCAAAGTCGCCCAGGCTGCCGCTGCTGCCGCCAGCGGCGCTGCCCGCAAATGCGCCAATTGCAGTTTGCTCCCAAGAGCCAGCAACGCTGGCGGCTCGTGGAATGTTGTTGCCTGGGGCGGCATCCATGGTGAGCTCCAAAGTTCCAGGCGCCTCTGGGGTAGATGCGTTGTCGCCTGAGATTTCACAATTTGACAGAGGGTCGCCAGCTGACCTTACTCCAACCAGCCGCTGCAAACCTTCCCCTTCACACGTGGACTGTGGCGCCATGGCCGCTGACGATCGCTCGTGTGCTGATGCTGCCGCCGGCCCGTCCGTTGCCAGCTCAGCAGCGCCAGCACCGGCGCCACCGCCCTCTTCGGCTTGTCTGCCGGTCCCGGAGTTTGCAAATTCCAGGATGCCGGTGGTGGCAGCAGTTCTGGGGGACAGAGGTAGGCCCCACGCCTCCCCGATGCTGCCAGAGCGTCCCAATTCAAGGCCGATGGTCAGACCCGGGGGGCTGCCTGGAAGCTGGCTGTGCGCCGCGCTGCTGCCGCCGCCACTGGGCTGCCGGCTGCCGACGATCAGGGGCGACAACGCCGCAGGGTCCACCGCAGCCGCAGGGGCTGCAGTGCCGGTTGCGGCCATGGCCGCAGGTGCCGCGTCTACGGCCGCCATCACAGCGTCGGTCGTTGCAATGCAGGTGAGGCGGGGGATAGGTGCAGTCGTCTCCGCCAGCCCATGCCCTAGGTCTGTCACGGTTGGCTGCCCTACTGGCGCTGGCGGCACAAACGGTACTCCTGCTGCTGCTGCCGCTGTTGCTGGTGTCTCGCCCAGTGAGGCCAAGACACGCCACATCTCTGGCTCGATCTGCGAAGCCTGCGTTGCAACGTTTTGCTCCTCAGCAACCGATGCCCCGCGCCTGTTGCTGGCCTCGACCCGATTATCTGACAGGAAGGCGCCCTCAGCCTGTTGCTGCCTTAGGTCCCCCTCCTCCTCCCACCACCGCTCCTCTGCGCGACCAGCAGCCGTAGCCCCAGCAGCCGCGCGGCCGGCCGCCTCTGCTGCCAGGAGCTCTGACTCAAAATCAAACGCCCCGTCATCACTGCCGCCGCCGCCCGTCTCCCCGCCACCGCCGCGGCCACTGCCGTCCCTGTTGCCGCTGCACGGGCTGCTGCTGCATGTGCTTGGGCCGATGCTGCTGGGGTCACTGGCAGCGACCTCGATTTCGGGAGCCGCCAGGGCGAGCCGGGGAAGCGCCTTCAGTTCAGCAAGCTGGGGAGCTGCGGTGCAATCCTGCTGCTGCTGCTGCTGCTGCTGCTGTACCGCGCCCTTTGTCCACGTTGGCCCACCAACTGCCAGCTCTGACGCCGACACGCCCGGCCGCTCGGATCCTTGCCAGCTGCCAAACATGCCAACACCGTCACTCTCACAAGTAGCACCCTCTCTCCCATGCAATGTATCCGTCGCACCGCCCTCGCTTGCGGCCAAAACTGCGCGAATGAGCTGCGGCGCCTGCCAGGGCGCAGGGTTGGCTGACCGCGCTGCCGCACCGCTCACTGCCAATCCTTCAATCCCAGTCTGCTCCATGCATAGTTCGCCACAGCTTGGCGAGCTGCAGATGGGGCTGGCCATCGCGGGCTGTGCAGGCTGCTGAGCCTGATGCTGTGGCGCTGATGGAAGCACGCCAGGCTCTGCACCGCGACCTGCTGCTAGTGACTCCCCTAACAAGCTCTCTGGAGACAGGCGAACCTCATGACTTCCGCCGGCCTGCGGTGCCCCAGCCTCCCTGGCCTCCGTCCCCCACCCAAGTTGCGGGGCTGCCGGCGCCACCGCAGCTGCAGCCTCTGCGCCATCCGGGGGGATCTTGGGCGTTGCGGGGTCAGCACCTGCTGGCAGCCTTGCACCGCCGCCGGGGCCTTTCCGCAGCGGCAGGAGTAGGGAGCACTCTCCCTGTTGGGGCCTTCGCTTTTCTGCCTGCCCCTCGTGCAATTCACTGCAGCACCTCTGCTCTTGCTTGTCCTGCGGGATCGGGACGCTACTACTTTGCTCCTGCTGCTGTGTGGCTTGTTGCGGCTCCCATCGGTCCTGCTGCTGCTGCTGCTGCAGCTGCTGCCGCTCCTGCTGGTCGTGGGCGTGCCGCGGCGCTTCCCCGGCCTGCACCTCCTGCGCCGACGTACACGTTGCTGCCTCAGGCGGCGCCGTCAGTGATGCGGCATGTGGTTGCGCCAGGCCTCCTCTGGAGGCCTCAGCTGCCTCGAGAAGGCCGTCCACGTCAACCTGAAGGCTGTGCAGCGCCTGGAGTGCGCGCCACAGCAGCGACGCCTGCCGCTGGTGCTGCTGCAGCAGCGCGCCCTCCAAGCAGCCGAGGCCGCGGGCGGCGCCCGGGGCGCCCTGCGCCGCGGCAGGCGTTGCTAGCAAGCCCAGGCCGCCGCTTAGGATCCCTTCAATGCGCGGCTGCAGGTCTGCAATCAGGCGCTCAGCAAGGGGCGCCAGGGCCGCCCTGGGCACCTCACCCGTGCCGGCGCCGGCGCCCGCGGCCACCGCTGCCGCGGCGGCTGCCCAGCTGCGTGCGTCCCGCAGTGGGGCGCCCATGCAGACGTCGTGGCCCAGCGGAGACGGCATCTCCTGCTCGGCACTGAGGCTGCCGCCCTCGGATCGCAGGTTGACGTGCCCATCAGCTTGCAAGCCCACTGCCGCTGCTGCCGTTGCCGTTGCAGCAGGCACGGCTGCGCTGCCCGTGCTGCTCTGCCGCATGGAGGAGTGGTCGCTTACGACCTGGCTGGGCGTCTCCTCGGGGACAGCGTCAAGTGCTGCAGCGGCAGTGGCGCGCATCGACTCACGTTGGGGGCCGCTGCTGCGCCCACCGCCACCTCCCCCATCACCGATCCTGCTGAGCTTATACTCGATCTGTGCAAGCAGTTCATCCATGCGTTGTGATGTTGCATGCCGTGCACGCGTCCAGGAGAAAGGTGAGATGTCGAATTCGGAAGAAATGCAGCTTGAAGCTGTGAAGTGCCTCTCGAGAACAACGCTATTGATCGTGGTTACACTTGTGCACAGCCTGGTCACTGCATCACACATGCAGCAGCGGCACTGCGTTTGACCGGTCCTCCCAACCTGCGCATCAGGCGCGCGACGGCACCCAACCACCAGTGCGCCTTGTCTGAGCACGATGCTGTCAATGTCGCAGAGAAGCTTGTAAAAGATGCACGCACCTGTGATCCTTTGGCACAGCTTGCCCCCTTCCTCCTCCTGCCCCCTCATGCCACCTGACGGATTGGCACACGGGGCAAGGTGGTCAGGAAGCCCTTGAAGTTTGACCATGACTATGAGGACAGGGCGGGATTGCGACAGGGCAATCAGTCCAGGGCAGCTCGGGTGTGGCGCCTAAAGGTTTGCCTTGGCAGTAGCGGCGGTTGTGGGGGAGTCAGGCCTGGCTAGAACGCCACACCCTGCACCTGTTGCAAAAGCTGGCCATGTGGGGCTGATGGTGATGCATGCACCCTGGTGTTACAACGTCGCTTCGATCATGTGTTATGCCGTATGATGTGTGATGTATGAAAGCTGCAGTTTTGGGCTCACAAAAGCGGTGCAAAAGCGTGATGGATGTGTGTTATTCAACATGGCAGCTTGCCGCGCCCCTCAAACCATGCTACAAGGTGTCAGCGCGCAAGGAGGTGACGCGCTGCCAGTGTCTGCCAACTGGCGCGTCTCAAAACCGCGCGTGCGCTTCTTCGTCGAAATGGTATTTGTCAAATCCAGATTGTGTTGTGCTGCTGCTCACCGCAAAAAACGTGGGTCCGCCCTTCCCAAAAACTTGATTTGGCAGGCGCACTTCGGGGCCAGTTGTGTGCGACAACAATGCATCAGCGCCCGCGGGTTGCAGCGGCTCTGATGTGTGGAGTGCGCGCACGCTGCGCCAGCCACAAGGGCGAGGCAGCGGCAGCCCCTTATACATTGACCTGCGTCTTGGCGCCCTCGTTCTGCGCGAGGCATGTTGACAAAAGAACGGCCGATCAGAATTTCAGCGGGGGCGAGGTGGCGAATCTGATCTACACGGCTGGTGATCGCGCCCAAGGATGGCGCATGGCCACGCGCAGCTCACGACAACAATCTAAGGTGCTGCGGCCCAAGGTGCCGCCGCATCAAACCCACCTGCCGAGAATGGATGTTTGGCGTGCGCGCCTCCTGCAAATGTGGGCCGGCGTGCAGCAAGAGCGAGGTGACCGAGTGCAGGCAGCGCAGGCAGCGGGCGGGCAACGCAAACGCGTGCTGCTCGCTCCGGGGCTCCTGCAGTGCGCCGGCGCCTACTGACGTAGGCCTGAGAAGCTGCTCAACCCATGGCCCATGTGCATGTCGTGACCTCCTCACCTCGGAAACCATGTAATCCGAGTCCTACGAGAGAGGCAGCGGCGGATCGCAAACGAATGGCGGAATGAGCGCGGTTGTCAAGGACCGAAACTGCATGCAGGGTGGCCGGCCAAAAGCCGAGCTTTGTGGCAAGGCAAGCGCTGTCGCAATCAGTGTGCACACGCGCATCGTCAGCGCTGAATCCCCTGGCAGCGGCGCAGCTGAGGCCGGGACGGCGCGCAGTAGCCCGCAGCGGGGGGGGGGGGGGGGG